ATTTTCATCGCTACTTCATCACTGTCATTTTGCTACTGTGATGAATTGGGCGCCCCCTGTGAAAGGGTTGTTTGACCTTCAAAGGGGTCGAGACCCACAGGTTGAGAACCGCCGCAGTATATCTGTATGTATTTCACCTTTTTCTTATTTCTGCTTGTGTGGACGAGTGTGCTTCTCAGACTGCTGCCAGGAATAAGCCAGCTGCTTCAGGACATGAGAGGATGGGTGCCCACTGAAGAGGAATTGATTTTGGCCAGACCTGAAGTAAATTTCTAAGCCCTTCCTGCACAAGACATTTTTAAAGCTATTTTCCTGTAGCACTTTCACTTTATTATCCTTCTTGATCCCATCTTGAAAGTAAAATGATCTTTGGAAATACCCTTGGAAGGAGATGAGACCCTTTAGCTGTCCCTTAAATGCCCATCATCTTGAGCCATATGCTTCTTAAAACTCAAGACGACATTTGGCACAGTTTGCAGGAGACCTCGAAAGGCTTGTGAACATTACTGTGGGACTGCCCTTCCCGTCTAATTGGATAGCCCTGTTTTGAAAAAAGTACAATACAATTTTCTGATGATAAACCTAGTCGAGCTTTTACAATGTTAATTTTAAAAACATTATAAAGGAAGACGAAAGCAATAACAAGATAATTTACCTGCTTTTTGAAAAAATTTAAAATACAGCCTCTACTACTAGCGCGTGGGCAGAACCCCAGACGAAGGTGAGATGGCTGTTGTGCTGATTAGGTTACATTAGACAGCAAATCGGGATAATATGGTGATGTTACGGTATCAGGCTCCACCTCGGCTGCCTGGCGAGAGGTTGTGTTCCTGCTAGCCGTGGAAGAAAGCAAACCTTCACCGGCACATTGCCGCCGCTGGGACCCTGGGGCCTGGGACTGTGAGTGCCTCTCGGAGCCACAGCGCTTTGTGGCTGACAGCTCTCAAGGAAACAGGCACCTCAGCCCTAGTCATGACGCACTGACCTCTGCCAACAGCCTGAATGAATTGGCAAGAAGACCTCACGCTTCAGATGAGACCAAGGCCTGCTCTACCCCCGGCTTGCAGCTTCGTGAGGACCCTTGTTGGAACTCCTGCCTGTACAAACGATGAGACCCTCAATTTGTTTTGTGTTATGTAGCAGAGAAAGCAAAATGTGACCCTTAAACAGATTACTGAACCGAGCATAAGGTTTTCCTTTGTGAAGTTAGGATCCTCGCCCTTGTAGGGAGGTTGTGGAATTAAAGAACATGTTGATGAAAATCCTGGAAATCAGTAGGTAGTCGGAAACGTCCGTGTGCCTCTCTTGGTTCTCTTTTCTTTTCTGACTTCCCCTCTAGCCAGGCTGAGCCAGGGTTGTCTTAGGATAGTGACGTTCTTTTGCTTGCTTCTGGGTCTCTGAGTTGCTTAGGATAGGTCGCCCTACTGCATAAGGCTTGGCTCCAGGCTCTGGGTTGAGTTCAGATCTGTTCCACAGCCAGCTACATTTTCCTTGGACCAGAGGCTCCCTGAGTTATTCTCTGAGGAGCACAAGAGATAAAGCCAACGGTTCAAACTGCTCATCTGCCATCATCCAAAGCCAGGCACAATGGCCAAGCCCACGGGCAACTGGTAGAGCAAAGCCCTCTGCCCTCTGCAG